TAAAGTATTTGAGATAATAAAATCCAAAAATACACATCATAACTCTTTAATTATTATACATTATGATAAATAAACTATTCGTTATAGTTTTATTTAAATATAATTTCAATTCTTTGTGTTTGAAATGTATTGATTATTTACTTAAATCTCGTCCAAGTAATTATTTCATTAAAAAATGACCAGGCAATTATTGTTTACAATAATTATATAACAACATATAATTTATTATAGTTTATTTTTTTTGGAAATAGTATCAATAAAGTTAATTAAAATTATTACTTTATTATATTTTAATTATATTGAACATAATATAAAGAAATTATTATAAATAATTTTATTTATTTAAAATTAAGTTATTTAAAACTAAATAAACATAAATAGTTTATTGCTATTTTACAAAGTCTAATATAAAGTAATTAATATATAAATTAATTTATAATATGAGATAGATTTAAAAACCCTAAAACGCTTTATTTGGTTTGTTTCAATCGGATTGTACCACATTTTTCAAAACAAAAAAATATTGTAAAAAAACACAAAAACAAATTAGACAATTTATAAATAATTTAAAAAAGGTTGTTTTTCTTTTTCTAATCGTCAATTTGCCTTATTATACAATTAAAACGATTACAATATAATTAAACATATTAAAAATATAGTTAAAATTGGTTCTTCAAATCTCATTTTGCATTTTCTCCTGATGGTTCTTAATTTTTTTTTGTAGTTTTTGGAGCAAATTAAATTTTGTTTTACCACATTAAAAAAACAATCAATGATTATGCGATATTAAGAAGGAATTTATTAATATATAATACGTATTTTACTGTTCATTTTTAATTGCTATTTGTCCAATTTATAAGTTGTTTTATAAAACACCAAAAATAAAAATTGAATTTATTTATCTAGTAGTATATAAATTATGCGGATTTAGGGGGGACCTCATTTTATCTATATTTTCTAATAATTTAACTAAAATCGCGAGGGACGCGAATCTGAGGATCTTTTAGTAGTATATAAATTATGTGGATTTATGACAATAACATTTTTTATCTATATTTTATAATATTTTAACTAAACGCAAAGCTCTCTATTGAATTTAATTATAGATCAATATTTATAGTAAATTTATATTAATGTAAGAATCTAAGTTTTATAGTAAATTTATATTAATGTGATTTTTTATCTTCCTTAAAATGACGGAACAGTATATGAATGAAGCGTTTAAAAAGTATATCGAGCTTTGTCCTTTACAGTTCTTCGAACCTGAGGACCTTAGGTCCGTACGACTCTTATATAATTTAAATACAGATGAAGATATTGACATCCCATAACCTATTATTGTTAAAAATAAAAGTATCTATTTATAAATATTAATTCTCAAATAATTTACTAACATCTAAATTATTAACAGTAATATAATGTTCTAATATTTGAAGCATCTTATTTATAATTCCATCTCTCATATTCTTTTGATTGTTTTCTAATTCTTCTATTTTATTTAGTAATAATACTAATTGTTCTTGCTTTTCTCCCTCTATATTTTTGACTTTATTGTCAAGATCATTTTTATTAATTCTAACTTGTTTCTTTATTAATGTTTGTTTACCTTTAATTTTACAAAATACATAACCATTAATAGAAATTGTAGCATTTAAATCTTTTTTATTGATTGAGTTAACTTCTGGATTATTATTAATATATCTATTGATTTCTTTGTTACATTGTTTTAACATATCTATTTCTTTTAAATTGTATTTGTTTATTAACTTCTGTAAAGCTATAATATGTTTAGAAGTAATATCGGATAAATTTTCAGCCTTTGGCATAACGCTTTGCTCACCACATCTAAAAGATGTGTCGATGCTTCGCTCAGCCTTCGGCATAAGTTTCTCGTCAATATAATATTCATCTTCACTCTCATTTGAAGAATAAGACATACCAAATGCTGTTTTTGGTGTTGCATCTGAGATGCCGCTTCGCGTTGGAGCTTTGCTGGAACTTTGTGTCGCTTCTCTTACTTTAATAATTTCAGAAGTATCCATTTGTTTTAATTGGTCCGTCTTTGTAGTTTGATTTGTTTTGTCTGAAGATAACAAATTTTTGAAAAATGTTTTTAATGAATTTGATTTTGATTGAGAAGTATTGAGCTTTGCTGCATCGAAGATCCCGCTACGCATACTTGTTACGACTTCTTTATCTGTACTCATTTATATTAAGATAAAAATAAAAAGATATTATTTATACATTACTAAATATATTATTAATAAAGTAATATAACAGTATTATTATAATATCTATAAAAATAACATACTAAATAGATGTCTTCAGATAAAATGTAAAATATATTACTTTGTTTTTACAGTTTATAAAATATCTATTAAATTATCATCAATGTAATTTCGTTAACATAAAATATTCTACTATCTTTACCTTTACAATAACCATGATTCATAAAGTTTTGAAATTTTTGATAATTATATTTATTATTCAAACACATCGATATTTCATAACCTTTTTCAATAACATTCGGACTAACATAATATTTTACAATTATATCTTTTATATTATTATTTC